AGGCAGGGACTTTAGGGACCCAAGGGCGAGTCTTTCCCATCACACCACAGACTATGCCGGTAGATTAGTTAATGATTCAGGTTATATTTCTACTTTCTCGCTTATAGGAAATGATGTTATTTGATTCGGGTGCATCTCATTTATTAATTGTTGTATCTTGTGTGAGAGATGTAGGCTTAGTGGTTGAGACCTTAAAAGGGTCATTGCATGTGAGTTCTCCCCTAGGAGCTAGGGTTTGCATTGATAATATATGTTGGAGATGTGCGTTAGAGATCTTGAGAATTCAACTCATTATGGACCTTAGGTTCATGGACATGTTGGAGTTTGGTGTCATCCTTGGGATAGATTGGTTGGCGGCACGCCAAGTCATCATCGATTGTGATCGGAAGAGGGTCACTACTTACACGCTAGAGGATGTGTATTTTAAGTTTCAGGAAGAAAAGCACAATGCTTTACCCCAAACCATATATGATTATCATTGGCATAGACAATTGATGGGTTAGCTTATGAGCCTTACACTTAAGGACAAGGCAGGACAAGAGTTGGTCTACCTCGGGTAGTTTTCAAGTATGCGAGTCTTTTTCTAGATGGGTTACTGGGATTGCCTCCACATCGGGATGTAGACTTCATCATTGAGTTACAACCTGGTGCATCCCCTATTCGTATGACACCGTATAAGATGGCATCTACGGAGTTGCAAGAATTCAAGGTCCAATTACAAGAATTGTTAGACAAAGGTCTTATTAGACTGAGTACCTCACATTGAGGTGCTCCGATGCTTTTTGTTAAGAATAAGGACATGACCCTTAAACTATGTATTAACTATTGGTAGTTGAATCGGGTCAATATCAAGAATAAGTACCCACTGTAGAGGATTGAAGATCTTTTTGACCAACTAATTTTTTATTTCACCAATTTGGATTTTCTAGAAAACTCAAAAACTCCACTGAATAATGACAGTGTTTATGAACAAGACCACCAGATTTCTTGTCGGAAAACAAGCATTTTCGGTCGAGTATGAGTCTGAGGTGTCCCAATGCCTCGTCGATGATGTTCACGTTGACGACGTCAAATCGGCATTGGAGTGCATTGCGACCCATTTATTGATGTCAAATACATTGGAAATGTGAACTTGAAGGTGAGGAAGATGGAAATAGTGTTGAACGAGGAGTGTACAAATGAAGTCCGATTCGAATTCAAGGAGTTCAAGATGGATGTCACCACTTTTTTCCTTGTACTATTGGAACATAATGCGAATTGTTTCTGTTTATGTACCTATTTATGTTTAATGTTATTATCTTTGGTTTTAAATTGTACTTTTTTGTCACCATTGTGTTCATGTTACTGTTTATGTACCTATTATGTTCAATGTTACTATCTTTAGTTTTAAATGTAATTGTTATTTGTTAACATTTGTGTTCATGTTACTGTTTATATCCCTTATTATATTCAATGTCAATGTCTTTTGATTTTAAATGTTATTGTTTTTTGTTATCATTGTGTTCATGTTATTGTTTCATGTTACTATTCAATGTTACCATCTTAAGTTTCTATTCAATGTTAATGTCTTTTGTTACTATCAATTATGTTAAACACCAATAGATAATATAAGAGAAATAGTCATAAAATAGTAAAGATATAAAATTAAAGAATTTTGAATTTGATTTAGTTTAAATTTTGTTGCATTTGTATATGCGAATGTAAAACCCAAAAAAATTAAAATTTTTATTAAAAAGGGCAAAACGGTAATTAGTCGTTATGATAGGGGTTAAAAATCAAAATTTTTCTAGAAGTCGGATGACGAAACGGACCTCACTGTTGAATTCATCTTGTGAAATATAGTACCCAGTCAATTTTTGTCGAATTCTGAGACAGTCAGATTTTGCGTGTTTTACGAGATGATCGGGTGTCGCGCAACTAAAATAAATGCGATCAAATTTTATTTGTAGAACTTGGAAAAAATTTTAAATTTAGTTCAATAAAAAAACACACTAAAATTAAAATGTGACGAGATTTAATTGATTCGGGATAAAATTAGACCAAAACAAAGTAGGATGTGTAGTTCAACAAGGACCAAGTGTTGAGGAGTATAAAAAGGGGGGAAAATCGTATTTTCTTCCTCATTTCTTCAACCATTTCCGGAATAGAGAGAGTTAAAGAGAAAATAGAGAAAAGCCCACCCTCTCCATCTTCTTTCCTTGATCCACAAAAATCCAATCATTGGATTTTTTCGAGCCAAGAGTTAAAGTCGCTCTACTCGACGAGAGTTACGCATCCATACCAACGATCACGGTTATATCCAAATCTCAAAGGCGAAAGTTTTGGGATAAAGCTTTGGAAGCTTGATGTTGGGTCTTTGGGACTTCTTCTATGCAGATATAGAGGTAGGGTTCCTTTCTTAACTAGGATTATTTTCAACCTAGGGTTGTATATGAAATGGGTAGGATGATTAGAGATTAATTCTCTTGTTTAGCATACACCTAGTGTAGCTAGAATATGGAAAATGGGTATGAGAGTATGTTTAAACCAATTCTTGCATGATTTGTGTTTGATGAGATTACTTGGTTTGTATTTCATGCAATAGATTGTTGGATATGCTATGCGTTTACATATTTTTGCCTACTAAGTATTTGATAAAATGCTTAAGAATCCAAGTATGTTGTTTGGATTGAAAATGCTATAACATGCTTAGTGATGTAAAAAAAAAATGCTTAGTGATGTTATGAAATGTTATTATATGCTTTATGATATAATTGACATTTGAGGAATTTACGTATAATTGTGGATAATGGATATATTCATTATATACCATATGATACATGGGCTCGAAAAAGTTAGATCTAGATTTGACTGAGTCGCACGGGTTTGCATTGAAAATATGTGTCGGGATTAGCAAAAAGAGTTAAATTCTCCCTTGGGTGCAAGACCCCGTAATTTTGGATACACACTCTCGTTGGTATTGAGTCCATAAAGTGTGTAGTTGTACATGGAATCGTTGGTGGAAGTCCATAGATGTCGTGTCGATTGGGTACTCGTTGGTGGAAATCCAAAAATACCCCACCCCAAGAAAGACACAAAGATTTTATAAAATGGTCATTGGATGTCTAACATCCATAATGGGGGCTTGAAATGCCCAAATGCATACATATAGTTTGACATGTGTTATGGGAGCCGATGGAGGGGCTCGAGTTTACATTGCATACATGAGTTCATCTCATGACATGGCGTAAAACGGTAGCATTCATTTATGACATGTATGTATTTGAATGGATGTTTTATGGGATGAATTGCATGTGACATTTTATATATATCTGCATTGGGGAGTAGCCTCCTTAGGAGATACCTTATTGAGCGTAGCTCGCCCTTTATGGAGATATATTTCAGGTGTTGAACAGGCTTCAGCGAATGGTTCTCACTTGGGCCCATGTTGAAAAAAGAGTCGAGTTGTGGCTTTTAGACTACATGTTGTAATTTCATGTATATTTAGTTTTGGCCTTGTATTAATTATGTACAAAACTTGTATTTTGACTAAGGTCTGTAATGAGACATTATTCTTTTGTAAAATAAATGAATGGAATGAGTATTGTATGAGTTGTGTGGCTAAAAATTGAGTTTTTGAGAAGTTTGAAAAAATCTGGGCTCTAGGTACCAGTACCTAGTATTTGGAGAGCTTAGGTACTAGAACCTAGGTTCACAGATACCGGTACACCAATAGATAGTGGGCTTAGGTACCGGTACCTACACTCACAGGTATTTATACTCCGTAAACAGGTACTAGTACCTGGCAAACAGAAGGCTCAGGTACCAATTGCACTTATCCAAGGTACTGATATCTCTTCCCAAAAATTAAAATTTTAAATGAAACATTGTCGAGCCTTCACATTTTGAACTCTTTTTATGGGATGACGTAAATGATTAAATTTTAAGCATATATTTTGAGATGTTGACCTTAGAATAGTCGTATAATTATTGTATGCACAGATTACGTATTGGGTAAAGCTCCGTACAAAAAGAGACTCTGCCCATATTTCTTTTTGGGTATGATCCCAGTGAATGGGGTGTAACGACATGATATCATTTTATATGCTACTCACGGGTATTTTCACAGGTTGATGGGTGATCAACTGGTTAAGAAAGGATCCCTGAATTTTGGTGTTTTACGATGTATGTAGATAGATAAGAGAGAGAAAATGAGTTATAATATTAGATAACTCACAATTTTAGGAATTTTAGTTTTCAAAGTTATTTTTATGGGATTTATATTTCAAATTTCAAATAAGCATTAACTTTCGTATTGAAAGGAGTCTTCGTTGGTTTCCAAAATTTTGGCTTTGTGCAAGTTAAAATGGAATTTCGGGTTAGAGAGACCCGATATAATGCAAATAACCCATTTTACATTTGGGTCATGTCAGCTTAGTTGAATTATGTGGATACTGATTACTTGTTATAAGTAAAAACATTAAAAAATCGTTATATAGCAAAAATGGGCGCCAGCCAGATTCTAAGTGTCATTCATATCCATGTCACAAAAATGAAGCGATATATAAAACTGAAGTTTAGCGCTTGTTACGTTTACGAGGACTGAACCTAATCACAAAACTGGTCTCACCCCACTTTCAACAAGGAGTTATCCCAGTTTTGTAGGCTTTTCAATACACCCTGTACTGCTGTGAATCAAATCACTAAGAATGGAAGATAAGGCCTTCTCATTAACATTTTAATCACCAATGAACTATTGGTCTAAGTGGGAGATCTTTCAGTTCTCCAAGGGAATGGTTCAACTGCAAATAATTCTGCTCATCATGCTTCTAACTCTTGCCTTCACCTAAAAACAGGAGTTCTCACACGATCACATCCAAGACTACTATAATACCGAGTCAATTTACATGCCCCACATTACATGACTATATCCATAAGAACGAAAACTTTCGTCCTTATATCAAGTGATCAGACGAAAGAACGGGCAACTTCTTGGGTAACAGCATCATACCAAACCAATTCATAACCACGGCTTGTTTACAGACATAAGACCATTCATATTTAGTCAAAAAGGTTTCAACTCGCAGCCTCATTACAATCAGTCTCTTAAAAACATCAATGAAAGCGAAATCATAAGCCAAAATGATAAGAGTTGCAAATGGCATGTTTTTCAAATAACTACTTTGCCCATCCAAAAGTCATGCAGATTAAATTGGAAAAAAAGGAAAGTTTCTAACTTACAAGACAAAATATAACACCACCATTAAATCTGGGAATATTAGCATCAAAAGACTAATGGGGGACATTCTTGGGGAGGTTGCGGATCACATTACTATTCATCCCAATCTTAGAACGCATGGCCTCCACCCCTGATCTATTGGTCTCCTTCATCACCTTCATCCTCACCACATGCTGTCTTGACTGCACAGTTTCCAAACCCATGCTCCTGTACCTGAGAACAATGATACAAATTTGCTTTCAACCCAGTATCTTCACATATTTTACTTCATGGAGGACAAAAAAAAAAAAGGAGATAAGAAGGCTAACCTCGAGGCTAATGCAGCAGTGATGACAAGATCATTTGCAGGTGATGGCCGCGGTTTTTGGCGATAATACCGCAAATATTCCCTGGACCCAAGTGTTTTACTTGATATTCCATCATCAGTTCTTCTTGTTATGATGAGCTCAGATCCATCACTTCCAAGTTCAACAGTGTTGTTCATGTCATTTGATGCAACCAGCTGCTTCCCATCAGCATCCACATAACTAGAAGAAAAGAAAGGAACAGATATATTACACGATGACAGCTGGTTGTCATTGGAAAAAGGTTATACATAGATTGATCATATATATCAAATGACCAGAGAAAGAAAATATATAACTGAAGGGAAAAACAAAAACCTGCTACTATAATCGTAAAATTCTTCTAACTCTGCTTCTTCATCATCATCACCATCGCCATAATGCACTTTGCAATGACTTTTCGCAGTCATATGCTTCCTCACTGCTTCCAAGCTGCTAAAAGGATGACATCTATCCTTGCAGTACAAACACATAAAATCCCGTTTAACCTGAAGAATAGATGAGCGGAAGTAAGAAGTGGAATAACATTTATAAGGCAAACAAAAATACTAAAAAATCTATTAATTATAATAAAAGAAGTTAGAATGCTTCCACCCAGAAGGACAAGGCGATTCATCCTACCCTTAGGCCAAGATAAGTAAGAAGGCCTCTTGGATCCTTCAGATACTCAACATCAGGTATGAAGAATCCATGCTGCTTGTGCATGTGAACCATACAGCTTTCTATTGTGTAATGGTCTAGATCACACATAAAACAACAAGAAGGATTCAACTCTTCAAATCCATCATCATCATCATCATCCATATCCTTATTGGAGGCAAGTTCATGTACACCCAAATGATTCAAAGATTCTGTGGCTTCATCAACCAAGCCTTCACCTGGGTCAACTTCCTCCCATTCACTTTCTTCGCTTTCTTCATTGTGTTGCTGCCTTTGTTGTGGAGGCATATTCACAACACGGGATGCAAGTGGCTTGATTATTGTACTTCCCCCAATCTGATTTCCCGGGGAAGCCTGCACTAGGTGACTTCGTGATTTAAGATGCTGAGCATGAGCCTTGGCACTTCTATAGCCTTTGCCACAAAGACCACAACTATAAAGCATGGGGGTCTCACTTGACTTTTTTTTCTCTTCAGCAAGTGCAGATTGTCTAGCCAAGAAGAGTGCCTCTGTCACTCCTGGGACACCCGCAACCTGATTTTGAAGTAAGAAAGAACAAAATTATCAAACTTAAACATATCACTGCTATTAAAATGATCCAATCCTATTATGTCATTACACAGCTACATTGACCACGTAGACACATGTGAATAACCAACAATCCTAATCCAAGCTCAGTTCCTAAGCATATCAATAATGTCAAAATGATCCAAGACCATTATGTCCATATATTGCTACATTCACCAAATAGATACATGAACATAACATATCATCATGAGTACAAGCTTAAAGGCCTTGACAAGGAACATGCAAGAATGAACATTATTGAGTAGATTCAGCTAGAAAATAGAAAGAATGGTTCAAATAAAATCAACAAAGGACAACTTGAGTAGAATGTCAGAAAAAAAAAAAAGAGTAGAATGTCAGTTCCCACTAAAAATTTAGTATTTCCTCCAAGAGTAGGAAAGGGACCCAACAAGAATTGCTGATTTCCAAAAAAAATACACAAAGTTGAAATCAAAATGGTCATATGCTTCTACCTAATAGAGTTATATACTAAAAACTTACTTTTTGTTGTGAAACCAGTTTATTATTTAGTAAAAGTTCTTTATTTTCTAATGAGAATCTATATGGGTAAAAAATTTATATTATATTAAATATATGCTATGTATGTGTATCTTTTATTTTATATATAGATAATTTAGAGTGTAGAGTTGACTTATTCACAGAAGATCAGATTATTTGATCCTTGTATGATATGAGTAAAGGTACATACTCTTAAATGGAATTGGACACACCATCAGTAGGATTATAGTGCAATATCTTGGTTGTAAAAAACTATCTAATATCTTGGATTGTTGCACTAGTACACTTTATTTATTGAACAAGACCATTATTGAAGTTATCTTTTTTACGATCAAAAAAAAAATGTTATCTTTTTATTGACTAAATAAAAAAACAAATACCTTATAGTTATTATGAATGTTTAATCTCTTAATTCTACGATATTTAATTGACACGTACATATAATAATTCTTAATTTAATTCATCAAAGAGTAAGATTCATATTTAAGTCAACAAACATGGTAAACTAGGAGATGAGATTCATATTTAAGTCAAAAAAATATGGTAAACTAGGAGATGACATTATTTGTATGGTGAAAATTAATTATTAAAAAAAATCATGATCCGGTATTTAAATGAGTTAATGATGTCCTCTTGAAGAAGTTCATAAACTTTGTTCATGTCAAACCTTACCGGTGGATTTAATTATCCGACATGACAAATAAGTTGAGTGATAAGATCTCGGACATAAAAAAAATTAATTAAATATAATTGTCAATAATTTAATTAATTGACGGACATTTGTAATCTTAAAGATAAGGAAATTATTAAGCATATAATAACAAGGAGCTCGAAATATAATTTTGAGATTAAGCCCAAGATATCAATAAGTTTTTATTGGACTAACTTATATTAATGGACCTTAGAATGCTTGTTNAAAAAAAAAAAAGAGTAGAATGTCAGTTCCCACTAAAAATTTAGTATTTCCTCCAAGAGTAGGAAAGGGACCCAACAAGAATTGCTGATTTCCAAAAAAAATACACAAAGTTGAAATCAAAATGGTCATATGCTTCTACCTAATAGAGTTATATACTAAAAACTTACTTTTTGTTGTGAAACCAGTTTATTATTTAGTAAAAGTTCTTTATTTTCTAATGAGAATCTATATGGGTAAAAAATTTATATTATATTAAATATATGCTATGTATGTGTATCTTTTATTTTATATATAGATAATTTAGAGTGTAGAGTTGACTTATTCACAGAAGATCAGATTATTTGATCCTTGTATGATATGAGTAAAGGTACATACTCTTAAATGGAATTGGACACACCATCAGTAGGATTATAGTGCAATATCTTGGTTGTAAAAAACTATCTAATATCTTGGATTGTTGCACTAGTACACTTTATTTATTGAACAAGACCATTATTGAAGTTATCTTTTTTACGATCAAAAAAAAAATGTTATCTTTTTATTGACTAAATAAAAAAACAAATACCTTATAGTTATTATGAATGTTTAATCTCTTAATTCTACGATATTTAATTGACACGTACATATAATAATTCTTAATTTAATTCATCAAAGAGTAAGATTCATATTTAAGTCAACAAACATGGTAAACTAGGAGATGAGATTCATATTTAAGTCAAAAAAATATGGTAAACTAGGAGATGACATTATTTGTATGGTGAAAATTAATTATTAAAAAAAATCATGATCCGGTATTTAAATGAGTTAATGATGTCCTCTTGAAGAAGTTCATAAACTTTGTTCATGTCAAACCTTACCGGTGGATTTAATTATCCGACATGACAAATAAGTTGAGTGATAAGATCTCGGACATAAAAAAAATTAATTAAATATAATTGTCAATAATTTAATTAATTGACGGACATTTGTAATCTTAAAGATAAGGAAATTATTAAGCATATAATAACAAGGAGCTCGAAATATAATTTTGAGATTAAGCCCAAGATATCAATAAGTTTTTATTGGACTAACTTATATTAATGGACCTTAGAATGCTTGTTCCGTGAAGGAGATAGGATCCTAAGCGCATTGAAAGGCCGGCTCTTATTTCTCCTTAGGATCTCTATTATAGCCTATAAATACACCCACTTTCTGGTTCTTTTAGGCAAATACCTTTACCTTCACATTTAGAAAAGGCAAAGCGAGAGCAAGGAAGAAAATTCGGAGGATTACAATCCACCCTGCATTTGAATTTTGGTGTAGAAGGGCATACAGTAGAAGATAGTGAGGTCTATCGAGCCGACATTTTGATTTGCATCTGTCTTCATTCGCGCAATTCTACTCATCAAAGATAAATCCTAATTCTGCCTTATATGGTTAACAGATGAATAAATTTTTTGTAAACAATTATACATGTCGTCAACGTCAACCGATCTTGGGATTGTCGTTCCAATACTACCGCATATAAAACTTCCCTCGAGGGAAAGAATTCTTAAGGCAAGATAGTCAACCTATTCTTTTTGCTTCATTCCGTATTAAGATAGAAAGAAAGACACGCCAAAAAAACACATTACAAATGAATTGACAAAAAGAATTTCAAATCTGTCCATTTTTTCTTAGAACGGCATAACACACGTAGCTCACGCCAATACAAGTTTGAGAAGGATCAAAAATACGCAGTCTTAACCCTACATGTGGAGAAGTAGTTTCCACAACTCAGTCCTTGATAACCAGGTCCCAATGGAATAATTTTTTTTTAAGTATATGAAATTCTGAGGCATGGAATTATTTGTTTCATTTAGCAAAACACGGGGAGAACTCAACAATTATCTTTTACAAATTGCAATCCTATGTTATCAACAAAAACATGTTTAATGACTATTTTACAAAAAATATCTATAAGAATCTTAGTATATAAAGCATACACTTATACAGGTACAAATATATACCACTACACATGAGATTAAGTTTAGAGGAATGGAGGAGACTTGGGTAAGGAAAAATAAAAGAATGCAAATCAAACTTCACTTAAAAAAGAACTTGAATGCAATTAAAAAAAGAAAACAAAAAAATACTTGACAAAGTAATCAAAGAGTACCTTACTATACACACGAATTGTGCCACAAAAGGAAGAAACTACTTAAAAAAGCAATTAAATGGAACCTTACTATACACATGAATGCAAATACCTACTCCAATTTTTTTAAAGATATAAATAACTCACCACTTCAATCTAATTCAAACAAAAAAAAATTACCATTTCCTGAGCCACACCCCATGTTCTAATATCATAGTTATTAAATCTGTGCAACTAAGGATGCCAAAAATAAGCCATAAAACAAAACCACAAAAATTTAATTGTCTGCACAAAAATCTGGAGTATGTTGTTCATTTTTTCAATCTATCATGAGTATCATAAATATGCTAAGTGATAGGAAAACAGCATACTTCACCATTCTGAAACCCCTTCTTGCCAATTTTGGTTTTGCGAAGGAAAAAAAATGTGTATAATCAAAATGTACAACTATGAAAATGTGGAGATCAAGTTTTTAGCAAGAAATATGTCAATGTTTTGCTTCGTGAAATCTCTAAAACGAACTAGAGGCGAAAAATAGAAGAAAAAACTGAAGAAAATGAGAAGAAACCAAGTAACATGTACACTGGTAAAACCGTATTGTCCACATTAAATAAATAACCAACAACACATATACCTTTTTATTCCAAATTCTAGTTTACTACAACCATTTCATTGCAGCCAGGAATCAATTTTAATGAACTGATTGATGTAAAGAATGCAAAGCAACTCATTGAAATAGCTAGCTCCAAATAATGGATTTGTTTAGCTGCTCAACCAGCATCAGAGATAAGATGCTTATGCATAATTGCAAAAAGTTGGATTTTTTAGGGCAATTATTCTATTTTCCACAGAATTTATCTGTTGTATCCCTAAGCTCAGCAAGGAAGAACACAGTTGTAAATCCATCTTCAATCCAATTTAACCAATCAAAGTGACATATTATAGGCTATGCCTAGATAAGAAAATACAGAATTTTTCCCCCTCAAACAAAGTTTTAATGTTTTATTACAGTAGCTACCTGAGATCAGGGGCAGAGTTACCCATTCCTTTGTGGAGGTAGTTGCTCCCACTCAATTTTTTTGTCCAAACATTTTTTTATATAAAGTTTAATATATTTTAAATTTGTGCCCACAAAAAATATTCATACACTTTAATTAAGATTAAATTTCTTTACTCAATTAAGTGAAGTTAATCATTGTTTATTGAATTTAATCTCTCAAACATGTGTTGCAGTAATTTTGAAACTTCTTGTTCCCTCATCTATATTTTGCCCCCTTTCTCTCACCTTTGTTAGTTTTAATGCATCGAATGATAATATTATTGGTAAACCACATAAATGGCCCCTGAACTCTAGTCTTTGTAAACCACATAAATGACCCCTAAACTTTAGCCTTTGTAAACCACATAACCCTCTCAACTTTTAATTTTTTTAATTTACCCCCTAAAATATCTAAATCATTTTAATCAACACCTTCTATCAAATTCAGATTAAATGGGGATGAAACCCCCACACGTGACCTACACATGTCAACTGTTGGAGGGAATTTTCAGCATACCAACATTTATGTCCTGCCTTCCTTTTCTCCTCTCTTTTTCATACTACAAAAGGACCAAAACTCTATACACAGCCACAGAAACAGAGTATGGACCAACTGAACCCAAGAGCTCCAAATTCAAGCGCCCTCACTCCT